AACAACAACAACATCATGAAAAACTGCCGCGACCAGGGGCCCGTGACTCCTCGGCGTCCGTCCAAGAGGATTCTGGCACGGTCCCAAGATCCTGCTCGACAGGAAAGTCAGCACTAGGAGGGACGGCTTGATACTAGTCCGGCGTGATCCTCCTCAGCTTGTGTGTAGCTTAAAAACAAGACTCTGTACCTATACGTGCCTTAAGATTAGTTACTTGTCGCGCGTGACCGTCTTCGTTGGAGCTGACCTCTTGCCGCTACGAGGGGAGTCGATGAAGTCGCAGGAGCGAATGAAGTGTTACGAGATGCTGCGTTGTTCGTAGGCGATAATGTTTTGCACATGCGAGATCCGCGCGGGATCGATGGCGAGGGCGAGCTTGAATTTCTAACTTTATACAAAATCGTAACATAGAAATTTGTATAAATGAAAAAAAGGAAACGATCGCCATTCTTTCGTGGCATAGTTTTCGCTACGGAATATTGTTATATTGGAAATATACATTTTGATCGAGGAAGAGACGTATATTTTCACATAAATGAAATAATAAAGACGTTAATATATATATTTCAACGAAAGGGATCTATCGTTTGGTTTCTCACGCTAATGCTATTTGGTGCATTTACCTTTGTTCATTTTCTTCACATTGTATAATTAGCGAATTTTGATTGTCATTTCGCACGGATGTTACCTGTGCTTAGTTACATGCAGGTACACTCTAAAAAAGAGGTAGAGNGGGGGGGGGGGGGGAGGAGGGGAGGAAGAGAGAGAGAAGATATTTTGCCAAATATAAGTGAAACTTGCGTCATTTCGTTTATACTGCTACTTTTGTTGCACGATCTTTCGGAGAACGACGAAATAAATGGTTCTGAAAGACCTTATGTCAGCATACGATAAGTTATCGTATATCAGCGATTCTTTTGATCAATATGAATCAAGGTTTTTATCAAGGTTTCGATACTTAGTTATTATCATATAGAGCAACTTCGATGACTAAATTCACATTCGTTTTCGCTCAAAATTTCGAAGAACGTTAGTACACACGAACACACCCGATCGTTTCAAACGGTTGGCCACCATACGTCAACTAATCGTGCACCTGATACACGTGCGTGAAACGTCATTTTCTAATCGTATTCTTGCGCACTCTCGCGAGATCTTATTTATATACATATATATTTCTCTCTATATATATACATAATATATATTATAGATGACATATATATATATATAGATATATATATATATATATGCTATATATACATATTCTAGATTTTGGACGCGCAGTACAATTGTTTTTTTTTTATATTCTCCCCCATTTGCAAGTAAATCGTACGTTCTGAGTATAATGGGAAAATCTTATGTCGACAGGATGGGTTGTGGATTACATTACATCCATTTGTCATACTTGAGTGCTTGCGCAGATGTACAACCGAAGAAATACCTTAAAGCGCCAATCGAGAGCGTTTGATAATCAAATTGAAATCGTTGCTACGTGCGCACTGACGAGACTAGCTGAAGCTAAAAATGGACATTGTATACATTGGTAATTAAGATTATATTATTCTCCTTATCGATAAGTGCGCTAAGAGGGAGAAAAAATGAGAGAGGGGAAGAGTGCATTCGCCAGTGAGGTTTGCTCGCTTCCCTGTTCCTTTGTATCTCCGAATCGCTTATCTTTTCCCGAATCGAGCAAAAACGACATCGACATGTGCATTTACGTTCAAGAAATTGTTTATCTTTCGACGATTGTTACTTGTTTATGTATAGCACTATTTACCACGTATCGTAATTGATAACGCGCGTACGGTGATATATACATAATATACATACATATACCTGCGTTTGAACATTTTTTTTTAATTTTCAAAGTTTATTTATTTTTAAGCTGTGGATGCTAAAATAAAGTAAAACTAAAGGACGTCGTGCGTATATGGGTGTGTTTTATTCATAGACCTTACGTATTGCATTCAATTCATAAACATTTTGTCCTCGCTTCTTCCGTGTGTAATAAATTTTTCACATATCATTTCTCCACTTGCTTCTATCCAGCGAGAAATGAACCATCGAATCGACCGTCAAATCGACGTCGAAACAGTCGAAATTACATCGAATCGACATGAATTTGACATCGATTCGATGTTCATTTCTCGCTGGGCATGATTTTATCGATACAGAAGATTGTGAAAAGATGCAAGATGTAACTTGACATATTGCGATGTTACGTTGCGAATAATACTTTGCGATCCAGTAATAAATTTCTTGCATACAGTGTTTTATATACATTACACTTTACTATACATTCCTTAAATTATGTTTTAAGAAATTATTTTTGACGCGTTAATTTATATCGTATCTTTTTATACAATTGAGAACCGTGGAATGCTTATATCTATCGCAAACACATACGTTTAAAAATGTGTCTGTATTCATGATATCACCAATGACGTCATCCCCGATTCGTTCCGCGCACATACAGTCAAATATCTCGTAACTAAACTTTTGAAAAAAATATTTTAAATAACAGTTTTAGGGTTTAAAAAAGATTTATTTATTGATCTTATTAGTTTGACCTTGAAACGTCAAACTCAAATGAAGTCAACTTAATTTTTTTTTGTGGAATCGTATAGTTTTTTTTAACATAAATCGAATCCTCTATTCATTATACGTATAAAAGTACTAGGATAAGATGATTGAAAAGTGAATAATTTTCGAGATATTTTATTTTTCAGCAAAAATAAAATATGAAATATTTAATAAAGTATTCACTTTTTAATAACATTACTTAAACATCACTTAAACACTTTTGTATGTAGAATGACAGATAGAATCGATTGCTGTAAGCAAAACATAGAAAATCTTTAAAAAAAATTCATTGCATTTTGCAAAAGCATCGATGCACCAATGTGCACTGAGTGATATCATTAAACGATTTCTCTTCTATTATTATGTAGAAAAATGTTAAGGTGATATTATTGAAAATTGAATACTTTATGAGATATTTCACATTTTAGGCTGAAAAAATCAGAATGAAAAATAAAATATGTTGAAAAGTGTTCACTATTCGGTAATCTTACTCTGATACTTTTATACACAGAATGAACGGAGGAATTGATTTGTGTAAAAAAAGAACCGTATAATTCCATTTAAGAAAATGAAGTTGACCTTCATTTGACCTTGACGCTTCCATCCAAAGTCAAACTGATAAGATTAATAAATAGATCTTTTTAAACCCTACAACTTTTACTCAAAACATTTTTCTCAAAATTGCATCGTTTTACGAGATATTGGACTGTTAAACTTTCGGCCCACTCTGTATGACGCCAACTATACATTTTCCTATTGTCTACGAGGTGCGTTGCGAAACTCGTCGAAAAAAAGTGCCGCAATCTTTAATCTGCCGACTGTACATACAGGTCGAAGAGAAATGTCCGTCAAAATGCAACTATGCAGGTATCATTAATACATTCGTATTCACTGGGTTGACATAAAAGTTCGTCCGGTTTTTCAGTCAAAGTGTACATATAATATTTATTTATTTCAAAATAGAATCAACCAATCAAGTATGCGCTTAGTTCGATGACCTGTTACTTCGCCGGTAGCTGCATGACCCCGCGCTCACGGAAATTTTAGGATTTCTGTGCAAAGAAGTAATGAAAGTGATGAAAGAAAAGACAGGACGAACTTTTGTGTCAGTACCATATCAATGTATATGTAAAAATCGCATCCACGCCCAGATCTCGTCTTGACGATAGTTCCCGTGGCATACAGATTATCGCATCGTCTTGTATCTTTGCGATATTCGCCGAGATCGTAATGTACATTGAGAGAATAAAAAGAGAACACACGCTACACGTCACATCCACACACACATACACCGAGTATGCAGTGTCTTTTTTCTCCAAATGTTATCTTTCTTTTCCGGTGAGGAGTGTCTCAGAATCTTTCTTTTTTGCGATGCCGATAACGGGAGAGACAATTCGTTTTACTTGTAATGTACGATCATGCCCGAGCGTACTCTTTCATATAACGGATCATTACGGTTTGTAAAGTGAATTAGAGCGATTTTGTCAGGTGTCATTTCTTCTCGTTAGCATAACTGCACCTGGACCGGGTATGTTTTGTCGACCGGGCCGTCGAAAGCGACGCTTCGTCGGTCACGAGCCGCGATCTCGTCCCGATTTCGCGTCCACCCGGCTACAAATAGGCGACGAAAAACGATGTATCGTCCACGCGACGTCCCACGCGACACGACGGGGAGGAATCGATAGGTCGGCGTGTCGTGCCGAAATGCGACACGGCAAGTCGCATGGACAATACATTTTCGGCGGTTGCGAGCGGTACTTACAGTTACAAGTCTATATAGAGGACACCGGCTTCAGGATCACGGCCATTCATGTTCGGCTATCAGCGAGCTATGTTACGTATTTTAATTTTGCTTCTCTCTCCACGCCTGTTCGCTGCCACGGTGTCGTCGGGAGTAACGTCATACGCGAAAGTATCGAGAAACGGACAGCTAGCGAGGAGCTCTCACGTGGATCCCTTTCCGTGGATCAGCAGGTGCGTACGTCGAGAACAATCCACCCACGTGTACGTATTAGATACTCTGATAATGCTGGAGAATACTGAAAAAAAAAATTGCTACGTTCAAATAAATATCTGCCAAAGACTGCCGGAGTAGTTTATTTTATTTGGATGAAGTAAATATTACTTGAATATAGTACACTGGAAGAAAAGAAGCGCTACGTTCAAATAATATTTACTCAATCCGAATAAAATAAACTACTCTAATACTGCTTAGTAAATATATATTTGGACGCAGTAATTTTTTTTCAGTATAGCTTTGATAATGAATCTCCCTCCGCGTTTGAGTTTCAAGTACAAGTTATAAGACGAATTCCGGTCGAATGAGATATTTTTGAAACATTTTCCTGCGCAAGGATCGAATACGAGGCATTTATTCGTGCATTCTCTCCAGTATTCAAGCGAGAAACGACACGAGAATGGAAAATGAGAACAAGAGTATAAGCGACATTGCTATCACGATATCGCCTGTATACGTTACGCCCAAGACTCCGAAGTTGAAGAAAGGCGAAGCGATCGACTATCCGGCTCCGAGGTAAATATTTGGTCTGCGCAAATGTACACGGAAAGGAAATATTAACTACAGCAGCAGAAGATTGCGGCAATGCTACCGTAGTAATTAAAATTACTTACGCTGCTAAAATTTTAAGTGTCCACCCGAGTCGAAATTTTCGCCTTATGTTAAACTTTTAATTTTACAACATAGTAAGAACTAAGATAGTAAAATAGATTTAATTTCAATTCTAATAACATAATATAACCTCTACTTCTTGACTCTGATGATGTCTTAAATTTCCGTTTTCGCCGTTTTAGTGTTAAAATAGAACGATGAAGGTAGCATTAAAATTCAATATGTAGAATTAAAGGTTCAAAAGAGAGAAGTTAAAAAGTATCAGTATCGTCAAAGTAAGTTTTTTATTAGTTTATAGGCCATTTAAGTAAGCGCAAAGTATTCTTAAGAGCGTCAGAGTCGCATCAAAATTTCGAGTCGGGCATACGTTACAACTAATTCAGCTATTGAAATTGATTTTTTTTATGCATGTATTAACACAACTTACTGATATAATATTATTCTCATTGTTTTTATTAATTTTTGTTTGTAATCTGCCGTAATTTTTATTAACAATCTACCTATGTATCTATGTATGTAGATATTCGACGTTGGATCACGAAATGATAGCCAAGCTGAACGCAGGGAAAAAGCAAATCCAACAACGATTTAATCCACCTGCGAGCTTGATATTTAACAATGACGATGCGCCGAACGGTGGGCCGCCGAACGGTAGGCCGTCGAATGATAGGCCACCGAACGATAGGCCGCCTAACGATAGGCCGCCGAACGGTAGGCCGCCGAATGGGAGGCCGCCGAATGGGAGGCCGAATTCGGGAAGCTCCTCGAGCATCAGTTCACCCTCACTTCCCGGCCCGATTTCCTTCGCTATGTACGAGTACGGTCCACCGTATTCGCCGGAGTTTCTTGAAGACAAGACGACGTCTAAGCCGATGACCAGCGTTCAGAAATATCCACCTATGCCTATGGACGATCAGGTATACGCGACGTAAACTTCAGGGGATGATTCCTCGATAAAATTATTTGAAAACTCCAAATAATCTACCTTGTCATGTGACATACTTAAACCGATTGCTCGCTTCGTTTACTTTAAATTCGAATAATTCTAAACTAATTTTATCTCACGAAAAAATGCACCTAAATTTTATATACAAAAATATAGAAATACAATTAAAACGGGATATATTATCACAATCTATTTCCACCTTTCACGAATATCTCGTAAATGTCAAATGAAATTATTCCTTATGATAAACAGTTGAATCCTAAATAATCTTACTTATCAATTTGACATACTTAAACCGATCGCGCGTTTCGATAGCTTAGAATTCGAGTAATTCAAAACTGATTTCATCTCACGAACAAAATGCACCGGAATTCTCTATCTCTATGTGAGAATATTGAAGTATGATGAAAAAAAGAACGGAGTAGGTTCTCACAATTTATCTCGATCTGTTGCAGGTGCCGGACAATTATAAATCACCGCCAAACAATTACCAGGTGGCCAGTGGCGGGCCCGAGATGGAGTATCCCAACTTCGACGTCGTACCTTCGTATGAGAATACCGACGAGCCTACGAAGAAGCCTATGAAATTCGCCAACCATCACGATCGCCCATTTCAATTCGACGACGACTCATACGGGCATGACCAGCATCACGACTTTCATCACGAGATGATCTACGATCACTTGCCCGATCACTATCACGAGCATCACGTCGAGCACACGACGGAACAGGAGCCGGAAATGAACGATCAGCGGCTTGACAAGCGGCCTTATTCGTATTACTTCATAGGGAAGAAGCTTTGGTACGTACCGCTGTACTTTAGCATTTATTTCATCATATACATAGCGGCGCTCGTGCTCAAGAGCATCGCCAGGCATAAGATTAATTTCCCGGCGAACCTGGCGGAGGCTGCGGGCCACAGCAAAAGAAGCGAGCCGGACGAGGGCTGGTGGCACTTTGCCGGCAGGATACTCGAGGGGGTAGAACGATTCGCTAAGATGTCCGGTGATAAAGATTCTTAAATGAGTGCCAGAAAAAACTGCCGGCCGTGATAATTTGAGAAAACGATCGGCTCCTTCTCGTCGTCCGGATACTTGCGTTTGCGCGGGATACCGATCTCCGCGCGAATACAGTAATGCGTGCATAATATACAGTCCTTGGTCATATTATTAGATGTACTTTGATTGTTTAATAGAATGCAGGTTAGGAGGAGAAGGAAAACTACTGATTTCATGTTTACTCGATTAGAATAATTTTCGGTCAGCGCTTTGATCTCGGCATCTTTTGAGATGTCAAATCACTTGTTTTACCCGATCGCTCGCTTCGGTCGTTGCTTTAAATTTAAAGTGAAATTATTCCTTGATACTCGTGAAATAATTGAATTCTACATAATTTCATTTATCAATTTGACGTACAAAAGCCGATCGCTTCATTTGCTTTAAATTCGAGTAATTCTAAACTACAATAATTTTATCTTACGAACAAAATGCATCTAAATTTTGTGTGTGTTATAATTATAATAATTAATATTAATAATTATAATAATTAACATTAAGTGTGATTATAATTTTTGTAAACAATATTAATATTTCTCACGCAAAAATTTATTTTTCTAGTTAGCAAGCAAGGAATTTGAAGTTTCAAGTCACAAATGAACAAAAATAAAACTAAATTTTCATTTATACACATACTCAAAACATGTCTGTTCCCGTTAGTATCAACAATGCAATTAGCGCGGGTTCATACTTGTTCAAGGTCATTTAACAACCAAGTGAAATGACGTCATAAAAAATACCTTTTATAGAATAATGGTTCCTTAAGGGGGTCATCCCGTGTGACGGCTTCAAAAAATCGATTTTTTTTTTGCATAAATCTAATCTAGAGCATGCATAGAATATACTGGCAAAGTAATTTTGGCAAAGGATTTTTTTAACTGGTGCCCATGATTTTTCGAAAACGGTTCAATGGATTTAAATAAAATTTTAATGGTAGATTCAGCACATGATGTGTGGCTATCGTGGAAACTAGATTTTTTTAAAAATATTGAACCGTTTTCTGTTCGCATAAAAAAATAGTCGCAAAAAATCATACTATTTTGAGTTATAATTTTTAAAAGCATGCGAAAAATTGAATTTTTAATATTTTCAAAAAATCCTAGTTCCCACGATAGCCATTTGCCTATAAATTAAAATGCAATTTGATTTTTTAATTTCCGATAAACCAGTCTGCTGGAATCGTGGGCACCGTTTGTCTGCTTTTTTTATATGGGTGCCATTCCAGTGATGTAACTCGCCATCGACGCCATATTTTTAAATAAAAAAATTTACACATATAGTTTAAGATGTAATAAATATATAGTAAAAATTTGGAAGCTCTGTATTTTTTCATTTCGCCGCAAAAAAATGCAAAAAAAACTTAAAAAAACGGTCGTCACACGGGATGATCCCTTAACATAATTCGATCGATAGATTAGCTGTATTATAAAACTGACCCTCAGAAGTTAATGAATTATTAAAAATTCAGGTGCGTTTAATAATATGGCCAGGGACTGTATAAGAACCTGACTAGGTGTGAAAGTTAATTTACAAGGCGTGTTACGTTAACGCGCCTCATGGTGACATCTTAACTCTAATTTGATATTCATGGATCAGATTGATTCAAGCAAAAAGTTAAGATCTTACTCTGAGAGGAAAAAACGGTTAAATTAACAAAAGCGGTCTCTTTCATTAAAAAAAAAATTGTTCATTGAAGAAATTACGCTTTGATGCTATAATCGAATGCGTTGCTGGCTAAATCGTAATCGTTGAATCAATTGATAACTCATTACAGCAACTTTATAATTTGTTTAATGAATAAGGTGCTTGAAAAAATTTTGTTCGCTCGAAAAAAATTTCGTTGATTGTATTGCTCTTTTTCTCAGTGCATAATCGTTAAATTTTGAATTTTTGCACATAGAATTCTTTTCCTGAAACATGTACAATTTTTTATTTCTTTCCGTATATATACGTTAATATGTTATTTTTTATATATTTTCTTATATATTAAAATTAAAAAAAATTATATATTATATATAAATTATATATTAAAATTTCGATTAATTTTAAAAGGGTTTTTTTTTTACTCAAAAACATATTTACTTTAGAAAACGATATATTATATTTTAATCAAAATTTTCCACAACCTTTTCCTATCTTTTTGGCAATAAGTGGGTTTCCACGGTAGAAAAAAAGACTTATTTTTAGAAGCAATCCATTCATCGATGAATTTTTTGATTTCTTCCAAGTCTTGAAAGTGTGTACTTTGAAGCATATAATGCATTAATTGGAACAAGTAATAATCAGATAGAGAATACGCGGGATAGTAAGACTTCCCATTCAAGTTCCAATAACTTGTCTTTCACGGACTTAGCGACATGCCACCTGGCATTGTCGTACAAAAGAATCACTTTACGTCTTTTATTCGCAATTGGAGGTCGTTTATTATCCAATATTTACATTAATTTGTGTAATTGTGGTGAACAGCAATCAACTGTTAACAGTAACTATTTTATTTGGTTTTAGCAACTCGTGATACATAATACCTCCATAATCCCTACAAATACAGAGCATAATCTTGTTTCCATGAATATTGCGTTTTGAAGTCGATGTTGATAGTTGTCCTGGATCCACCTACGATTTTTTCTGTTTAGTATTGTCATAATATATCTATTTTTCATTGCTAGTTACAAATTGATACAAAAATTGCTTTTTTGTGTCTCGTGCAGTGAAATGCAAATGTTATAACGATTTTGGATAGCCAATTCGGACAATTCATGTGGAATCCATTTTTCTCTCTTTTGGATTTTTCCCGTATCTTTTAAACTATTATATATAGTGGTTTGACCAATATCTAATTGTTCGAGTGAAATGTGAAAATTGCAAGTTCTTTGAGCGGTTGAGCCGAATCTTCATCCAATGATACATTTAACGTTAACCCTCAAAACTAACCGAAACACCAAGTACATTAAATTATCTATTTTAAAAATAATAATTACGACAAATTTTCCGAGTTTATCTTTCGTATATTCAAAACTATAATATTTGTACACTAAGTAAGCGTATTTATAAGTACAATCGGCGTCATGTATGTTATATCATTTCCTAGGTTGAAACTTTTTGTTATTACGCAATTTTTATCCTTTTACATGTAGATATAAAATCGAAAGTATTATAATTAGAACCATTATAATTATAACCCAATATAATTAGAATTATTTATGCAATTTTCGATGTTATGTGTTATGTGTAAGACTCAAAATCATTTTCCGTCTAGAAAATGATACAGCATACGTCGACTGTACTTAAATAAGAGTTCATCGGAAAAGTTAAAGATAGATAAAGATAGAGTTAGAGAAAAATAAGTGTGCCAACGAAGGGTTAATGCAGAATGTTTATATTTAGATTAATCGACGATAATTATGTAAAAAGTAGAGTCAGATTGCTTAGGCTTAAGTGATAGAAGTGAAGTGAGAATGTACATGTCTCGAGATAAATAAGATAAAGAAAGAGAGAGAGAGAGAGAGGGAGGGAGCGGGAAGAAGGAAACGTTCTGAACAGTCGTTTTTATTGTTTCCCGTACCTACCGCTATTTATCCACAATCGACTGATGAATCGACGAATTGATTATAAATCAGCGTGCGAGTTAGTCGTCCTCTTCCAAATAAACGCAATATTTACGATCTTGTCAATTGATTCCCCCGATGTCGCAACAACACCTTTCCATTAGCCTCGCCGTTCTCGGAACCACTCGGCTTCGTCTCATTGTACTCGAGCCGGTCTAATACGCGCGCGCGCACGGGGCTTTCAGCACGTTGTCGAAATAATTTGCGTAAACGGCGCGCAGCGAGCGGCTTGAGCGGGCGATCGTTAACGGCAGGACGGTATGCAATTATCGCCGATTTAGAATATCGTTTCAACGGTACCGGCACCTAAGAATGTGCTAATTGCCCGTTGCGATCTGACCGGTCGCAATAAAAACGAGTCTTTACTTAGTCGACTTAGTGGACTCGGGTACGCCGAGAGTCCGAGCGGGGACGTCCCGCGACGCGTGTGGCCCATTGACGTTTCCCCAAATTGAAATCGATAGTTCACGAGCGAGTTTTAGCGAGTAAGTCGGCTGGCAGCTCGTAGTAACGCGTGGCGCGCTAATTGCGTCGCGATGAACTCCGGCGGGGTTGTATCGCGGATCTCCGGATTGCCCACATGGCCGCCGTAATCGTCGTGCCGCAGAAGCTGCGGATCATCAATGAAACTACCGGACGCGGATCGACGCGACGGTAGCCGCTCGCGGGCGACGCGCGAAATCTGTAACAATTAGGGCTGTTAACGCTGTCGGATTTGCTTAACGTTCCGGCTGATACAGTTACAGCGCGTACCGGACGGGTTGTCGAAACTGGGTCCGAGGGAGTATCGTTCAGTACCACATCGGACACTACGACCGGAGGTTTCCCGCCGCGCGACCGCTTTTCCGCCCCGCCCGCCATTCGCCGCTAAGTGTCAAATCTCAGTAAGCAAGAAATCATTGACACAACGATATTTATTACAAATGATATTTTCTAATATGCAACGCTTTCAAATACGCTCTTAATGTTTGCATACAACGTCATTGTTGATAATATTTCATCCAAACATCGACAATAATCTTTCCACACTGATGATTTTAATATTTAGAAATATTATATTAGCAAGTAACAGTTTAAAAAGATTTATAAAATATTATGTTAAAATGTTTATAAGATCGGTATAAAATCGATGTTTCAAAGGATTGGATTGAATGTTTCTTGCTTACCGGGATCTCTCGTCAGCGCGTCGTCATCGTGCCGGCAAAAAATAAATAGCATACGCGATAGAGCGACGAGGGAAGAGGACGGGAGTGATTTTCTCTCCCTTTCCCCGCGTCATCGAGAGTATCTCAGGATACCGAGTGAGATGTAAGACGACAGCCGCGTGGTGGGATGGTGTCTATCTCGTGTGACGAACGCGCAAGAGGCAAAGCGCCCGCGACATATCACGGAAAACGTTGCAACCCCTCGCGAGGTTAACGATCGCGATTAAGATGGGTCAGTAGCTACGTGAAGCAATAGTTAGTGCAAAATATCCGTAAAGTCCGCGTAAAATTAATGGTTGCGCGTACGGATCACTCACGAGTCGAAGTCTCGATGCTACTTTGACGTTCTCGAAGATAGCTCGCATCTATTCGGACAAATCAATAGAAACCTATTTTAACAATACCGACATTTATTAACTTTTCTATGTTATGTTATTTTCTATGTTATTTTCTATATTATTTTCTATATATTAACTTTTCTTCGTTGAACCTTCAATTCTGATGGATTTAATTTTAATACTACATTATACGTCTATTTTGATGCTAGAACAGCGAAAACGGAAATTTATGATATCATCAGGGCCAAAGTAGGAAGAAATTATATTATTAGAATTTAAATTGAGTACCTATTTTGCTATCCTACTGTGGTTTAGAATTAAAGGTTTGACATAGGATCAAAATTTCAAATCGGGTTATGACGCACATTTTTTATGCATACCAGATCGAGTAGAAATTTTGACGCTTTTAACCTTTTCTGACCTGAATTTATTTTTGCAAGTGAGAAAAAATGTTTCTTTCAATTTATTTTGTCTTTGGACACGGCAAGAGTCACAGTGAGGGAACTTAAAAGTTAATGATTACAATTGGAATCAGCTGGGCAGAAAGGGTTAAGGATAATTTGCGTTTTCTTGAAAAGCTTATAGATTAGTAAAGACTTTTGACGATATTGATAGTCGTTAAGTTCTCGCTTGAACATATAATTTTGTACTGAAAGAAATAATGTCATACATTCAAATAAATAATTACTCCAATAGTGCTTAACAAATATTTTACTTGACTCAAGTAAAATATTTGCTAAGAAGTATTGGAGTAATTATTTACTTCAATATAACACTTTTTTCTTTCAGTGTATAGATTTCATTTTAATACTATCGCGAACAATCTATGTTGACGCTAAAACAGCGCAAATGGAAGTTTAAAACATCATTAGACTCAAAGTAGAAATAACTTATATCGTTAGAATTAAAATTGAACCTACTTTACTATGTTAGCTCCTATTATGTTGCGGAATTAAAAGCTTATAATATAGGATCAAAATTTCAATTAGAGCACTTCTGAATCGAAATTCGGATGCTATTTTGACGTTCTTAAGGATAATTCGTACTCTACTGAAGAAAGTTTATAGGCTACTAAAAACTGACGATACTTACACTTGTTAACTTCTCCCTTGAACCTTTAATTCTACAGATTTAATTTCCACACTATCTTAAATAATCTATTTTGACGTTAAAACATCAAGAACGGAAATTAAAGGCATCATCATGATTAAAATATATGTAAATTATACTATCAGAATTGAAATGGGGGGAACCTATTTTGTCATTTTAGATCTTGTCGTGTCGAAAAAAAAAAGATTAACATAGGCATCAACAAAAATTTCAACTCGGATAACTTCGTTCTAAATGAATAACATCCTTACGGCATTTTGATTTCTTAGAGACGATACGTAGCCGATTAGCCTGCAAGTTCGTCCTGCTGTCAATCTGCATTTACCACGCCTCCGCTGAGTCGGGCATCGAAAATACGGAAACGATTTCAGAGATGGGAGCACCCGAAGAAAATGTCGAGCTGACCACGATCGCGCAGACTATCAGGTGAGCGAGCCGAGACTTTCCCATCCTCACACCACCGTCTCATCGTTCCCTCGCTCTCAATAGTGTCAGTCGATCTAGATGCGGAATTGTATCTTTTCCGAGCCCTCAATCTACGAGGAAGTGTGCAAGATAGAAATCAGACTGACGCAACGGCCTCGGGTCAATTATCGCGGATTAATCGGCATTTACCTTAATCCACTTTTCATCCACAGACGGGGCAGAGCGTACAGACGTGGTTACAATGCCAGAGGGGACAACAAAGATTACCACAACGATCAGCAGGATCATTATGGTAACATGGACGATGATAATATGGACGATCACGCGGTCGACGACGAGAACGATTACGGTCATACGAAGGCGATGAGTCAGCCTAAAGTCGATTATTGGGCCGGTTACTACGACTTTCTGATCAATGAAGGGAGCTACAAATTTTGGGCCGTTTTCCAGGTAATCCAATTATCCACCAATCCAGTAACTGTAATCTAAATGGTTTACAGTCATAACCCAAAATCTTCAATTGGCGATTTAAGTTTTTAAATGAAATTTAAAAGTATAGTATAAATAGTTACTTCTGGTGTACTTTGATTGCGGCGCAATAAAATCGTCTAAAAACCATCAAAATCACCTAAAAACAATAAAAAATCAAGCCAAACTACCTCTCACAAAATCGCATAAAAACAAAGAAAAACTCATCTCCCAATCGCTATTTTGAGATAAAAAATAGAAAAGTAAATGAGATAAAAATAGAAATAGTAGTAAAAAATATTTAAAATATTTAAAAGTAGTAACAAATATTACTACTTTTTTCTGGCGTATCCAAGAACTACAGCTTAAAAATCGGACAAAACTACTTTTAAAAAACAAGGTTTTAAAGCATAAAATGCTATGAAAATAACGCTATGAAAATTGTTATAGAAATTTCTGGCGCATTCGGGGTCGGAAGATTCAAAATCGATCAAAACCACCTCAAAATCGAGGTATAAATCTCTAAAAAAAAAAACCCTTAAAATACTGTCTCTCACTACGAAAATTGTTATCGAGATTTCTACCGCACTCGGCCTTGGGAGACGCACCCGGGATCGAGAGATCCAGAATCGAGCAAACCCATCCCAAAATCCGAAGTTATATCCCTCAAAAACACTATATACCACCATGAAAATTGTTATGAAAATTTCCAGCGCATCCGAAATCGGGAGCTAAAAATTAAATAAAGCCTACTTTAAAAACAATGTATAAGTCCCTAAAAAACGAGGTTTTAAACCTCAAAAACGCTCAAAAACATTCTCCCACTTTGAAAAAGCAGCATTTTTACATGCGCGGAGTGTTGCGGATTGAGATTGTCTCGCCGCAACGAGACGATTGGAATTCTGAGTTGCTGCGCGCCAGGCGAGGCAGTCTCGCGCGCCGGATTCTCGCTGCTGTAAATTGCGGCGTACGCTGCGGGGCGGCGCGCCGCCCGAGCGGTTCGCCCGCAAGTGAGTTCGCTCGCGGCGGCTATAATAGGGCGCTTGGCAGGAAAGAACGATTAGACAGCTTTGCTCTACCATCGCACTTAAATGAATGGAACGGTAATAGTATGGTACGCACTCATGTTGGTTCGGTTTTTTTGGGGGGGTTTTACGGCTGTACTCGCGGGGGGTCATGTTTTGCGTACTTCGGTGAGTTTCTTCTTTGGAGTTGTACGGTGCTCGGGGGAGAGGTTCAAGGTTTGGATTTAAAAGCCCCTTTGGGTTGATTTTTGATGCTTGGAACATCGTTCCAAGCTTTCCTCGTGACTGTACGCGCCACCTGAGTATTTCGGGCGGACACTGTGTAAGATAAATTCGCAGAGAGCCTCCGACATGGGACAATTAATCGACGCTACCGCCGATTAATTCGGGGTCGAGCGTAACTCGATAGACGCCGTGACGATCGGCTTCAGTGGACAAATCACCTGTGGGGGAACGGCGGTCATGTGAGGTTAGCACACGAACATATAGTCCTCGGTAGTTCTGATTAGAGTTCCAGCTTTCCTTCGAAGAGTTTATAATAGGAGAGTTTCTTTTATATTTATAAAATATGCCGACGTTTAACACTAAAAAAAAAAACAAAAAACCAGGTGCTAATTTCACACCTTGACATTAAGATTGGATAGTTATGAATGGCTCATTTTTATGTATTTCGAAGAGTTCTTAGAGTTCCTGATACAAAAAAAATTTTTCGATTTCTTTCAAAAATTAAAAAAATTCGGTATCGAGGCCGAATAATTCTAAATAGCGCATTTGATTCCTCTCGACGAGCTCTAAAGTTTCTGATAGGTAAAAAATATCAAATATTTGTAATTGTTAAAAAAAAAATTGACATCGAAAGTTACCAGAGGCAGACATTTTTGAGGTCGAATAACTTCTTAAATATCGGTCGGATCGCCTTGAACCATAATAATTTCTTATAGAACTCGTTGAGTACAATCGAAAAAACACCGCCAGAATTACTGGAACTCTTAAAAAAAATTTCGATGCGGACGTGGAAATATTTCAAGTGCCGCACACATCATACAGAATAACTTCTTAACCACTTGCGCTTGGAAGGCGGCGGCTTGCCGTTGGGTTCCCCCGCTTCTCCGGGAGGAGTGGAGCTACGCTCCTGAAGCCCTTCCGGACCCTCTAACGCACGCACTGCGCCGCGGGGAGGTTTTCCCTGCCGCGAACGCTAAGTTCTTCGTCGGACCTAAGGGGTGCGTTTCAGGTGCCGCCGGCGATGTTCTGTGCCGGAGACAAGGCATATAGAGGCCCTCGCACGACCCGCCTTGCTGTCGGCGTAGGTGTTCTTAGACGCGAGCCGTCTCATCAGCGGCCCACGTAGCTGACGGTGATTGGCTGCTGTCCCTGCGACAGACCCGGGGTCCTCCGTGACCCACTGTGTCGATGATGGACGGTGGTTGTGGCCGATGCGACTGCTCTGGATCATCCTTAGTGTCCCACGATGCCGACGATGGAAGTCGGTTGTCGCCAATGCGACTGTTCCGAGTTCTCAATGATCCACGATGCCGACGGTGAAAGTCGGACTAACCGAATTTCTCCGAGAAGTGACTCCGGTGCCCCGCGAAGAAGGCTTCCCCGCCGTCAGCGACTGGGCGCTCTCCAGGAATCTTCTCAACCCCGAAGGTAGATATTGGAGATCCCGGATTACCCCGTATCTAGAGACGAGTTGCCAAGCTTCACGATAACACCGAGTCGCAGCGAACGGTGATCCGCACCGAACGCTGCTGGAGAATTCGTCCCTGGTCAGGGCGTGAACACGTTCTTCTGAGCTCGCGGGGAGACGATGTCTACCGTTCCCGAAGGCGATGTCCACGTGGACGATCGCGTTCGTCGGCGTACGCTCGACCCTGATTCCGATTAACGTTCCGGTGGAGTTGCTCCGCGGACGAATTTTCCGGCCCTTCGCCTCGGAAGATCTTGTGGCGTTCACGGCCACGAGTGCAGAACGAGGTTCCGGCACCAGGAAGGTATTGAAGGGTAACTTCACACACTCAAAAATGCACGCTAGGCGCTTGTTCACCGTTCTGTCG